CGTTCGGTGTAATATACATTTTGTACCCAACCGCCAAAGGTGGTCTATACCGACTACAAATATGGCTGCAAATAATATTTATGGGTTCACCACACCACGAAGTGGTGTGGTGAAACCATATTGCTTTTTCTGATGTTTCTTCTTCTCGTCCTCCTCCTTCTCCTCCTGCCATTTTTTAAATGGATTCAGCTTCTTCATTTTAGGGCCCAAGGTCCTGAAATTTGGTATGGAGGTACAGTGGGCAAATACCCCTAGACGTTTTTTAAATTATTGTGATACAGGCTTTTAGAATGGTTTTATTTGAGTTTTTTGGCTGTGTTATAGCAAATGTATTACTGTGTTAGTGTGCCTTGTTTACCACGTTTGGGCATGAGTCATCACAATGGAATGCAGGGCATCAACCAATAGGCATGCAGCTTTCCTCTATTCTTCTTGCTGATTGGCTGTTGGGATTTAACTTGATTAACAGACTGCACAGAGCATTTACACCTGCACAGAGCATTTCTTGCTGATTGGCTGTTGGGATTTAACTTGATTAACACCTGCACAGAGCATTTCCATACTGACAGTATGTCTGTATTCAAGTGTTTTGGTAGGGATTTCAAGCTTTCCTGCTCCAGCATTGGAATGCGGGGCATGGACGTTTTTTTTATTTTGAAAATCAACAGTTTGCATTATGCAATTAAAAATCCTAACCAATAAAGTAGGGAATAGCTATCCAACTGTTGTTTTAGTTGTATTTTACTTCATATTATAGTTATATCAATGTAAATCATTGTTTTCCCTTGTGTTTCTCATTCTTTCCCTGCCATGTCGTAAAATGTGGTGAACCCATCGCTGTATTTGCTCCAAAGCAAATATTGGCCTTTCTAGTTTATTTTTGTATTAAGTAATGTTCCCATATGCCTAACCTTTATCAATGCAACACCCTCTCTGTATCTGCATCTGTATCAATATAGCTGGTATAACTAGATATGCCTAGGGGCAGTTATACCTAGCCTGGGTACCATCCTACTTGTATACCGGGGCTCCCACACTCGCTTCCCTAAGAAAGTGTCGGAGCCCCGGCATACGAGTAGGATGGTACCAAGGCTAGGTATAACTGCCCCTAGGCATATCACACAAGCTCTTACCCAACTTCCCACCTGCAGGTAAAATTTCTGCAACATGCAAAACTGCAGGTAACAGAAAAAGTACTTCGAACTTGGCATTGTACATGTACACATGTGAAGATAATCCCCGGCCTCTACCTGTACGTACCTGATAACAGAGGGAACCCAGCCTGTCCACAGACGCTGCATCATTGAGGCCTGTCTCAACTCATGTTCTGTAACAATTCCTGAAACACAACACAACACTGCGTTACATACTTGACTATTGGAAAAAATTGTAGCTCTAAATAAAGGGATGTTGAAACTTGAGAGACGTCAGTCTCAAGTTTTAAAGACTTGATTGAAATATATAAAAATACCAGCTGGGAACAAAGAGGTATAGACTATTATAGTATAGTCACCTTCCACTAGTCAAAACTGAACAAAAAGACTAACAGGCCTCATAAAATTTGGTCATCTTGGATAGGTGGGCACACTAAATATTTAATGCTTGAGCCTTTACAGAACTGCATAATCATCAACGTCTTTTATCATTATACTTTGCCATGTCTTTTATTATAAATATAACTTGCTTTCCTATATATTCAAATCTGTGAATGAAAACAAAAGTGTTTGTTCCACTCACCCTGAATGCCATACTGAGGGAGTTTGACCAATAGGATGCTTCCCCCAATGGTTGCCATGGCAAAGAGAGCTTCCCCCTCATTGGTCAGCCAGGTGGCGCCCAGGTGCGGGTAGTTGGATGGTGATTGGTTCAGGAGGTGGAAGTTGTTCTCGTTGCGCAGCTCGGCCAATGAGAGATCAGCAAACACAGAGGGGATTCCAAAGTCTCCCCCATAATCCTTGGGGAAAAACAGATAAATGTACATATACAGTACTTTGGAGTAAGTGGCAGCAATGTATTCTTGCATAGAAAAGCTGCTGTCATAGATTCAGACCTTGGAATTGATGTTGATGCATTTTTTTTATTTGTGGACAGCAAATTTTGCCTCATTTCGCATTTAAAGGTGTGTTTTCTTGGGTGGGTATGACATAAATAAAACACAACATAGTTCCAGCCCTCCCGCGAGTTGGATCTCCCTCCAGCCTTTGGGTCATCCAACATGCGGTCGGGCTGTTACCTCGGGTGATACGGAATACACTGTTGTAATATACCATTTGTATTACATATGTACATGTTATATGATAGAAAGAAACTGTGTACCATCCTGGCAATCCTGCTGGGGTGAGGCAGGACTATCCTGTGCACGCTGCCGACCGTGGCCAACAGGACGACCACGTGAGCGTGGGTCTCGTGGATGCCGACACACGGCACCACCGCGGAGTCCGGGAACCGGATCCGCACCGCGTTCCCCTCCAGGTTAGCGTCACCCGACAGCTCAACCAGCTCAAGGGTGTCCCCATAGCTCCTCCTGTAAGGGGGAACAAAATAATATACATGTAGGCTGGTCGTGAATTCCAGTCCTTGACACTTCTAATACTGAACACGTGGCTTCTCACTCTAGCTTTTGCAAAGAGCAGTTTTAGCTTGTATTTGTGACCTCTTGTTGGTATACTATCCAACATCGAAAAGAAGACATCTGCTTGGATTCTCTTTTGACCAGTTACTTTAAACACTTGAATCATGTCCCCCCCCCCTCTTTCTTCGATACTGTAGGCATGGGATCCTTAGCTTTTTCAGCCTCTCCTTAATGCATGTACTATTTCACACTGATGATAAAAGATAATCAAACGAGTAAGAACTGACCAGTAGATGAGTCTGTTACAGGCCGGCCCTGCTCCGACCCTTCCTCCGTCCTTATAGCTGAACCCGCCGCCTCGCTCCGGTAACTTTATATCCTGGCTACCAACTCCACCTGTAAACAAAAATAACAACTTATTTTTCCTGATGATTGTCACGGTGATATACATGCATAGTGCTGTGTACCGAAACTCACATTTAGGTTCAGGTCTGGACTCAAGTCCAGAGGTTTAGGTTCAGTTCCAGACTCAAGTCCGGACCTAAACCCATGGCATATACAAAATTGCATGTTTTGCATGCATGTCATGTTGCCCAAACAACCTTGCATTGTTGTTTGGGCAAAACTTTGGCCACATAAGATGGAGGCCGGTACTTGAAGATGTTTTAATTTTGCAGCACAGATTCTATCATTTTATGGAAGGTTTTAGGTATTTTCCGTCAGTTCCTCACAACAAAACATGTGAAGGTGGGGAGGGGGGCAAAACTGGCCCATGTGAGTCGAGATTCACACGTTAATTTCGCACGTCTAACGGTACACACAGCTTGTTGTCTTAAGTTTCAAGCATCCCCGCACGTTCCTTATTCGCTCCCACATACCTAGGTTGACGGTGAGTTCCTTCCATCGCTGCTGAGAGCCCAAGTTCAGCGGAACCTCGCAGAAACTCAGTGCACGTCCCGCCATATTTCACACAAAACGCACGACGGGAAGGCAACTCTCCACGTGCAGGGATGACACCTAGCGATTTTTCATGCCACTGCAGTACAACGAGCTCAGTATGACACCTGTTGATGGTTCGCCTTTGCTAGTCTCTACCAGGCTTCGGGAGGTCGCTGGAAAGAGTAGAAATCGGTCAAATAGAGAGATAGCATGCCAGGGGAGTTGGTCTGCCGCGGCAAACTGTTCACCAGACCAACTCCCCCGGCATGCTATCTTTCTATTTGGCCGATTTCTACTCTTTCCAGCCGCCTCCCGAAGCCTGGTAGAGGCTAAGTCTTTGCCATGCGTCAACTAAACTGGAATAAAACTTCAAATTTGTACCGCATTTTGGCATGTTTTTAAACTTTTTTTTTTATCAGGATTTCTTTTTTGCACTGGAAGACCTATGATGATTTAGGACCACCAATTGCATTTTATATTCAGCCCTATTCTCCAAGCAGAATTCTTTCAGGGCCTATATCAGTATATGCCCTTTTACGCAAGGCGTAATCAGGCCTTTTAGGTCTGTGCTATTCAGGTCGAATTTAGTCTCCTTCGCAGTCTTGTTGGGCGCCGGCGTTATTTTTTCTCTGAGCGACGCGAGTAATATGCGGCCGCGAGGGACGATTTGCTGCCGAGGGAGTTTTTGCCACGGAGAGAAGGTTTCGCGCTCCAACAAAATAAAATATTGTTAAAATAAAATACTCGCGTCGCTCAGAGAAAAAATAACGCCGACGCCCAACAAGACTGCGAAGGAGGCTAGGTCGAATTAACCTCCGCTCTGAATTCAGAGGCTACAGTGTGTTAAGGTTGACTGAAATATTAGAACTACAGTCTTCCTGAATGTTGCCTTTCCTCAGTGTCCCTTCCTTTCTACTCTACTTGCACCATTTCTGTTTCACTCACTCATTCACTCACTCACTCACTCACCCACCCACTCACTCACTCACCCACCCACTCACTCACTCACTCACTCACTCACTCACTCACTCACTCACTCACTCACTCACTCACTCACACACTCACTTACTGACACACTCACTCACTCACTCACACTCACTCACTCACTCACACACTCACTCACTCACCTCACTCACTCACTCACTCACTTACTGACACACTCACACACTCTCGCTCACTCACTTCCCTACCCTGATATATAACCTATAGTAAACATTTGTCAACCAAAAATAACAAAGACAAGGTTCGTTTAAACTTGGGAAGTACTTTTTTTTCTTTATTGTGAGATGACGAAGGCTGATCATAATACTGTACATTCATATATTCTGTATATGGCTTACACAGCCGTAGGATACTTAGTGAAATTTCTATGTACTGTAACACATGTACATTTCTATGGAGTGTAATTATATTACATAACTGTGTATTGTAAGATATGTAATGTTACATTTCTACATGTATGTAACGGTAACATATATACATTTCTATGTACAGTGTAACATATATACATTTCTGTGTACTGTAACATATTGTACATTTCTATGTACTGTAAAATATGTACATTTCTACATGACTGTATGTGTGGTATTACATATACATTTCTACGTACTGTAACATATTACATTTCTTCATGTATGTATGGTAACATATGCTGTGTACTGTAACATAGTACATTTCTGTGTACAGTAACATTTACATTTCTATGTACTGTAACTTATGTACATTACAGTGAGACTTGGTGCTATCTCATACATGTTGTTTTCAATCATTGATCATAATTTGGATTCCACATTGACTGTATTGTCCTTGTATATACAAAAGTTGCATACTAGTGCAAAGAAAGCATTACATTGTTCTTAGTCTGTGCAAACAAAGTATATTCACACACACAAAAATTGTGGATGTAGTAATTGTATATACTCAGGTACATGTGCCATTCAGATCTAAACATTCAAACTAGATGTACTTATAAATCAATGGTTCAACATCTTGGTAAACAGCATTTAACTGTTGCCATAAACTTTTAAAACTTAGAGTCTTTGCATCACCTTAACTTAATGGTTTTTAAGTTGATCTATTATATAAGAGAATTACATGTGCCATCATCTAAGTAAGAGTAATCAGTGAGTGAGTGTGGTAATTGCTTTGATTTGACCATTTGAACATGTGTAAAGAAATTTTAACCATAGTCCCCCCAAAAAGGAAACCAAAAAGGAAAAATTTGGGATGCGGAAGAGATCCAGGGGGTTGTTTGGGGTGTTAAGAGTTGACAAACATTATTCAAAGAAAAACCAAAGAAAACAAGAGAAGAAAAAGTAAAAAGAAAAGTAACCAGTCCAGGAACACCATGCTGTCAGATGTTAGTGACGTAGGAGACCCCTGCCCAAAAGCAGCCGGACTGCGGCCCTGTGCAATGCAGTCCGACTGCTGGGGCTCCTGAACATCGGTCTGGACTGGAAGGGAAGGAGGAAAGAGAAAAAAAAGAAAGTTTGAGACAAAACTGATGAGAAAAAAACAATTTTGAACTGCTGAGACAAATAAGAGGTTAGGACAAACATGATTAAAGAAAACAATTGGTCAAAAATGATAAGAAATAAAATTGAAAAGAAAAGATGTCAGTCCAGGAACACCATGCTGTCAGATGTTAGTGACGTAGGAGACCCCTGCCCAAAAACAGCCGGACTGCGGCCCTGTGCAATGCAGTCCGACTGCTGGGGCCTCCTGTGGCATGGGTCTGGACTGGCAAAGGGAAGGGAAGGTTCTAAGAACAAACATAAGTAAAAGAAAAACAAATTAACATAAAAAATCTATAGTTTTAAACAAACACCAAACTGACCCCCAAAAAGAAAAATTGATACAAATAAAGACTGACAATAATTTTCATTGTATTAAAATTTGTAGTTTAGTTTTGTAAAAAACAAATTGGCTCCCAAAAAATGGGTCCTAGAAGGCGAAAGGGAGGGAAGGGACATCAAATTTATACTTCATGATTTTAAACATTAAGAGCAAATGTCTGTAAGGATCAAACAATGGTGGCAGGGGTCAAAAAATCGATTTGGCTCAAATTTTGCACAGTGATAGTACTTGGCCCACAACCCCTCAAAATGGCTTTCTTTCTGCTCCACATCGACCGTTGCCATGGTAACAGCCCAAACATGTTTTAGGGCCATTTTCCATGATTTACGCATGCCAGAAACATGAAAATTGCCAAAGTTTAGGACGCCATTACAAACAAATGCTTGAATATATCGGAAAGACAAAAACTGTGCTGAAATGGCCAACTTATCTGCTTTCCTAAGATAGCTTTAAAATTTTCAAAAGGTCAGTTTTAAGGGTCTGGGCATCACTAAGACAATACAGTGTTTTGGGCTTTTGAAATATCCATATTTCTGCCCATTTTTGAAGCGCTGTAACTCCAAAGATGGTGATTTTTTTTCGTTCAAAATGTAATAACAGATACATAATCGTATGAGCTATAACATGCATGTTTGTAAAGTTTGGCCAATTGTTTGGTTCTCACGTGGTTGTCCTCGGAAGTAGGTCATATTTTACATTTCAAGAAAAATACAAATTTTTGTCATCTTTAAGATATAATAAATACAATACGAAAACAGCAATCTAATACCACTTTAGATAATAAGTAATCCTAATAATTGTCTATCAAATGAATGCTTGTGGAGGTTGGAGTCTTGTTTCGTTGTTGTGTAATTGTCCCATAAAGTAGGCCGTATTTTGGACTTGTGTTAAAATTATCATTTTGGGCTATCTTTGGAGCTTTACAACTGACAAAGTAGGATGTTTTTTGGATCCAATCTTTGTAGGGTAGTACATACATGTATTGTGTATCAAATGATATCTTGTTGAGGTTGGAGTCTTGTTTCGTTGTTGTGTACTTGTCCCTGAAAGTAGGCCATAGTTTGGACATGTGCAGAAATTTTCATTTTTGGCTATATTTGAAGCTCTATAACTGACAAAGTAGGATGTTATTTGGATCCAATCTTTGTAGGGTAGTACATACATGTATTGTGTATCAAATGGATTCTCGTTGAGTTTGGAGTCTTGTTTCGTTGTTGTGTACTTGTCCCTGAAAGTAGGCCATATATTGGACATTACAGAAATTGCAAAATATACGGCTGTTTTTGAAGCAGTAAATATGACAAAGTAGTATTTTATTTGAATTCAATCTTTTAAGGCAAGCACATAATTATATGCATTTTGTATCAAATGAATACTTCTGGAGGTTCGGGTCTTTTGTCGTTATTGTGCACTTGTCCCCATATTGTCCCCATATTTAAACATATAAAGACATTAGCACACATGTACTTGAAGCACTATAAACGCCAAGGTAGGACGTTATTCAAATTCAATTCTCTAGCAGTAACTTTAAGTAACTTTATCTATTGTCTATGAAATAAATATATCGAAACGTGAGCAATATTTCCTACTTTCGGGGACAGTTACAAGAAAACAATAGAATATGTCCTAATTATGACTTTTGGGGACAAGTACAGAGCAACTAAGCAAGAACCCACCTTCTATAGGCCTTCATTTCATAGACAATAGATAAAGTTACTTCTGCTAGAGAGTTGAATTTGAATAACGTCCTACCTTGGCGTTTATAGGGCTTCAAGTTCGGAAGTGCACGTGTGTGCTAATGTCTTAAGTTTTATATGTTTAAATATGGGGACAAGTGCACAATAACGACAAAAGACCCGAACCTCCACAAGTATTCATTTGATACAAAATGCATATAATTATGTGCTTCCCTTAAAAGATTGAATTGAAATAAAATACTACTTTGTCATATGTACTGCTTCAAAAACAGCCGTATACAATTTCTGTAATGTCCAATATATGGCCTACTTTCAGGGACAATTACACATACACGAAACAAGACTCCAACCTCAACAAGAATCCATTTGATACACAATACATGTATGTACTACCCTACAAAGATTGGATCCAAATAACATCCTACTTTGTCAGTTGTAAAGCTCCAAAGATAGCCCAAAATGATAATTTTAACACAAGTCCAAAATATGGCCTACTTTTAGGGACAATTA